ATAGATAAAATAGAGTAATTCATTCAGGTCTGTAACGCCTTTTCTAATTATATTTGATATATAGTAAAAGAAGTATTATATGAATACTCATCTTGCCACAGAATGAGTTATATTCATTCATTCAGACTATAGTGGCTGATGGGGGGCCAGCTATAAATTATCTATACAAATTAGAAGTTGTCAAATTTTCTTTCTATGAACCCAAATTTCACCAAGTCCCAGATACAACTTTTCTTCATATATAGTATTTTCAAGCTAACGTATGTGTACCTTATCGCTCATTCCAGAACCCACACAGTCTTCGCAAGGCAGTTTCAGACGTCTCAAATGCACTGGTAAAGGTTGGGAAGGACTTAGAAGTCTTGACCAAAATATACGATCAAGTTTTTCAAGCAGAATGTGGATGTTGTGGTCAAAAGGAGGACTGCACCAAAGACTACATTGTGCATGTTACTAATGATCACGCAGGAACATGGGTATGTGGGCTATGTTCGGAAGCAATCAAAGAATATTTATCAAAGAACCCCGAAAAAGCCATGCAAGAAGCAGTTGATGCTCATAATCAAATTTGTCAAAACTTCAATATCACAACTAGAATCAACCCAAAGCTCACACTGACATGGGCAATGAAGGATATAGCAAAGAGAAGCCTAGAAAATAGGAGGTTGAGGAATTCCTCAAAATTGAATATATATCGAAGCTCTAGTTGCATCCCACAAATAAATCCAAATACCAAGTAAAACCAAGCATTCTTTATGTGTTATGGTGCATATATAGCTTTGTAAGTAACTTTTGATTGGTAAATTAGTGTAGTTACAAATGAAGCGATATCAAGATGTTAACCTTTTCAGCCATTAACACGTTATAAGCATTCACTCTTTCGACATTCCGATTACAATTTTTGTCAAAAATTCTAGATCTCTAATGCCATCATGTTGTGCAAATAGATCATTAAAATGAACCAGTGGTCATTAATCCTTGGTGCACAGCGCCAGCCATTTGGTCGATCTTGTCCAATTTCTTAATCAATTTGAGATGTTCACAAAAAATCGCCTTGATTAGTATAGATAAAATATAGTCTTTTGTAGTGACTAATGACCTGTTTATTAGCAGCTTAATGAGCTTAATATGACACACAGCTTATGTGGTTTATGTATCATTGTTTGGTAGTGACATAAAGATATAGAAAGTGGCTTATGCAGATGACCAAGTTTTTTCTAAACCTCTACGTCCCAATTAAAAGACACACTCCTTTCATCTATGAAAAAACCCTCACACGAATGCAGCACAAACAGAACAAACAAGTTTACACTTAACCATTATCGGCCCGAATTAGATCTCCATTTTCTACACCTCACACACAACTGCAGCCCCAAGTCAAACAAACAATTGAATATATATCAACTTATTTGACAAAATTTTGTGGCCCAAACAGTGATCAAAGTTGACAGCCCATAAAATTAGCCCAATCTGAAAGAAATTAGCAACAGCCCAGCCCAAGGAGGGAAGGACTGGGCAGTGGGCACGCAGGTCTTACTCGCCCCACCCCAGACCCGTTTTCATCCTGATTTTCACCCAGATCGCGACCAGCAAACGTGGCTAACGAATTCGAGGTCCAAATTAAGTTAGTTTTCGACCGATTTGCATCATTGTTTTTGCTATAAATCATTAATACCGATTCTTACAAACATTGGCAGAAAATTTAGCATTTAATTTCAACTCATTGTTCCATGCATCGAGTTTTTATTAAACCTGCCACCGTAAACCGCCGTGATGATGGTGTTTTACAAAATTCATGACGTACAGCCATAACTGGCCTTCTAATCTTATACAAATTCAAAATACATCAAAATAGAAATCCAACGGCATATAAATCGTCGAGTTTTGGCAGAGAAAATTACCTCGAAAGAGATGCTTTACCCGTACGACCCTAGTTTACTTCTCGGTCGAATTCCCCATCGACTCACCGTATTTTTGTATGTTTCTGGAGGCGTTTGTTCGATATCGATAGACGAAGTCACTGGCACCTTCTATATATATTTCAGTGATAAAACCAGCATCAATTCATGCTCTCAACTGCCGTCGCTAAAAACCGGTTATAAACCACGAATATAATTTCAAAGGTTTCGCTATTTAACAAAACAGGTCCTCTTATTTGACATTTGACCCCTTTGCCCCCTAAAATTCAAGTATGTAGAGCCCTTTACACCCACCAATGTTGGTATTTAAAGGTGTTATCGTTATCAATCATGCATGATTATCCATTAGGATTGAAGATTCCAACAACATTGCATCATGTGACCAAATACATGATCGAGTAACCAAACCATGTGTTGTAAAGAAACCGGCAACAAACTTATGTGACATTATACGTGATCGAGTGGCCGCTAAAACAAAAAGTAAAGATAAACGAACATCAAAGAGAGCATAGTCAAGAGATAAATGAATAGTTGTTCAAAATGATGCTTGTTAGATATGATGAAGACAATTTGTTTATGAAAAACACAGTCGTGAAGTAAGCAGCTTGCCAATGTTTCTAAATACGAAGTGTGAGTGCCACATCATACACAAGTTGATATTTTTGTCGGGGAAACCTCTTTTGTTGTGAGATATATGGAATGAAGTCAGATTTTTTCAATAACGTATATAATAAGAGAATAAAAATTGTCAGATTAGATGAATTACGCTCATAATGTCCTAGACTAAACTAAAAAGCAGGCCCGTATATATAAAGATAGTATCGGGCAAAAATCGAGGCCCAATACCTTCCAGCAATCATCGGCCCACTAATGTAGACTAAGGCCCATATTCTAATATCGGTTCTTTTCGAATCAGGTAACTGATGATATTGTGACTAGTTAAATTAATGGGCTAAGGCCCGTGTTGCCTACCAATGTTGTGACTGTTTCCCACTTGGGCAAAGAGTGGAGTAGTATCGGTCCCAACGCCACCCCGACTATGTATACCACCACCACGAGTTCCTCTGGCGGCACTACCGTTGCGCTTTCTAGATTCAATGCAACAACCATCGTAATCCTCGGCAACATAGATTTTGTGGTGGTTTGGTAAAGGTAAGAAGATCGGATAAAAATCACCTGTCCAAGAGACATCAGATTTCATCTACTTTAAATTTATTTATTTTATGTTTATTTTATCTATTTGCTTACATGTATTCATATGATTGGTGGAAATAAATGAAACATGTAAATTTGAGATAGATGGTTTTTATTGACTTATAGACATTTGATTTTCTTAAAATGATATAAAAAAAACAAAAATGAAAATATAGAAATACGAAAGATATGTGTTATTGAAGAGTAGTAGCGTTTGTGAGGGCATAATGGAACAAAAGGGATCAAGGACTGAAGAGGTACCTGAAAGATTGATAAGGCACGTGTTCATGACTAAGCTTATGAATTTTTTTTAAAAAGGGAAAATGAAAATTTTAGTTTGTTCATTTCTTTTTGTGTTTTGTTTGTTTACTTCTTAATAATTTTGTTGATAAATATATGATAAATGTATGAGTAAATAACTTAAGATAATTGTACTGTAATAAATGTAGGAGTAGCTATGTTTACTTATATACACTACAACAAAATTGGTTTTATAGGAAACCTAAAATGTGTAAACGTTCTAATAAAATATTTCATAAGATTTAAGTTTATATGACCAAACCAAAAATCATTTTATCTAAAAGTGTTACATCAGTTTAATTGTAGTTAGCTTTAGACGTTTTTAACAAGTTTTTTTTGGGATGTTTTTGAAATAAAATATCATATTAGTTATTTAATATGAAACTATTTGAAAAGTTTTCTAAATAAACACAAGTGTCTTATACAAAAATGAGTTTATAGAACACTTCTTAAAGGTGTTGTATAAAATAGTTAATATTGCGTCTTATTCTAAAAAAAACGTCCTAAAAAACTTATTAAAACGCTCAAAAGCATTCTATAAACCTATTGTAATACCTTTTAAAAATAAGACAATTTATAATTTGATCTTATAAACTAAAATTCTATAAAGTATTTTATTACGACGTTTAAGGATCGTTTATCAAACACTTACCCAGGTAAGTGTTTAACAAGTAACATTACCTTACCGGATGAATATGATAAGAACTCAGACTCTTACCTAGTAAGAATGAGGCAAGGACCGAGAGTCTTACTCAGTAAGTGAGGATACTCTTACCATGATTAGCGCTTATCGGATAAATTGTTGCATAAGATGCATTTTTTGTTGACTAAAATCTTACCCGGTAAATAAGTAATAGTGTTGAATTTTACTAGTAAACACTTACCAGTTACCAATATATATATATTATAATTTATATTGATAACGGTGCGTACATGATACACACTAGAAGACATCTATATCATAACAAGTATCATACCACATGTAGACACGAAATTCATTCATGAAAGTGTTTGCCAATATATATATATATATATATATATATATATATATATATATTATAATTTATCATTTTGATACCCTTTATTAGATTATTTTAATATAAAATATGTATGTGTAGAAATGCAAAATTATAAATAATGTGAGTCGAGTTTGAGTATCAGTATACTCGAACTCGGTAGATATTTCTGAAGCTAAAACTTGACTCGAAAACTCACGAATAGTTAAAATCCAAACTCGACTCGAACTCGATAATAAGTTTCTAAACTTGAACTCGTTTAAAGCTCGAACCAACCTTGAACTTATAGCTCGAAACAAATGCTTACATGTCAGATTTGATGTTTTTCAGGTTTCTATACCCTTTTTTTATCATCTCTCTTCTAATTTGGGACAATTTCTTTAACGTTATTTTAACAGGTTTTTTGTATTGACCGAGTTTGAATTGAGTCGATCTTGAGTAACTCATGAGTCATCACGTCTCATTTACATCCCTATGCATATATCTCATAATCATATTAGTTCGACAATATCCAACGAAAAAGTTTAAAGTTCGGAAAACCGTTAGCCGAATAAGTTAATTTACATTCATGAACATAAAAACACCGAAAACGAGCACAGATCTAGCTAGGTTCTCACTTTTTTACATCTCGTGTTTGATTTCTTCCTTCCGTGCGCAACAAGGCTATGGACCGTTGGCCGATCGAAGAAGAAACGTTATTTTTTCACTTGCCATCTAAAGATCAAACAAACTTATACTATACAATAAAAGGGGTTAAGTTTTTGGCTATGAAATCTATTCGGAAACGTCTGGATGGATCAGTTGACAGCTTTTCTCTCACTCATCTCCCTAGTAATGGAAGGTATGCAACTAGAACTCCTAGTAAGACCACCCTTATTGTTTACATTACCGTTACCTCTTTTTTGATCCCTAGGGCTAAGAGATTTGGCCCGATTTCCATCCAATCTCGAACTCTTTTTCAGCATCTCCTTCATCGCAGCAGCTTGGAACAAAACTGGATTCGTTCTATCGAACCGATTAAATCTAACACAAACCCTAGTGTGTTCCCTCAATGCATCCTCTATCTTTCCTCCACTTTTCTCCATCTCCTCCTTCACAGCCTCCGAACACAACCCGCAAATCAACTTTCCCAGAAACTTTTCGCGAACTCGAGCAATGTACTCTGGTGTACACTCTTCGAACATCCCACAACACTCGCATTTCGCATCTTCGACTTCTGAGATGGTGGGAAGCATCAAGTGATCAGCTACGGAATCGACTTCTTTGCTGAGTTCGAAGGAGATATCGGATATCGTTCTTTGGAGGGTATCCATGGACAATCTTGAGGGTTTTTGGAGATTGTAAGAAGCCAATAGGGTGGAATCTCTATCTGGAGACATGTCTAAATGAGTGAAGGATTATGAGCTGAATAGAAGGTGATATGTGATGGTTAGATAAGTTGTGAGTTGGGTTATGGACTATATAGTGAGTGAATTCCTCTACTGGTTTCTAGTTGTTGCTATAGTATGTGGATGACGTGTGTCGTAGCACTCAAAGTAAAAGGATGTGGACAAAAAAGTACCTTGCCTTTTAGGTTTCTGGTGTGAACCAACAGTTTGAACATAATGACCCTTTATTGAGGGAAGTCTACTCGTAGTATTGAGGCAGTCAAATTGCTTAGAATTCTTAAGTGAATTTGTGTGGTTAGTTTAAAAGATCGACTAGTGTCGGTTTCGATTAGAGAAACTACTTTTCGTAAGATATATCGTGAACGTTTAGTGTGTTTTTCGTATGAATATTAGTTTTAGGATCGTTCCTTAATTAGCATGTTAAATGTATGATTTTAAACATTCATTCGATGTCTAGGCAAACGATATGAATGCAAAAAGAAAAAGGTAAATACGACACTAAATTATTCAAGATTAAAGAAAAAGTATATCCTTTTATATAACAGAGATGTTAGTAATGAAACTAGTACTTAAATGATAAACCAAACAATAATGATCGTTGTGCAATGAACCTCTATGATTCAGCTCCTTATGTGCATGAATTTTTCTATATAATTACTTCTAATGCACGTCACTTCATTAGGTTTTTCATGCATGCTTAATATATAGCGTGTAAGTTGTAACTAATTAATATCTGTATATCATATCGTTTTCAATTCGTGTTTTCAAACACCCTTTTCGGAGTAAATTACTCCTTTTGACGGGCTAATTAATTAAGATGGTCTTGTAGATATCCAACAAGAAAAAGGTAAATACGACACTAATAACAACATCAGGTTTAACCAAAGGGTCTTTGGCCTAGCAGTATCGTAGTCTTTGGCCTTTTAGGAGGTCAGGGGTTCAAACATCACCATAGGTTTATAAGACACCAAGAAAATGTCTAAATACCCTATTAATAAAGTGCTTTATAGGAAAACCTAGGTTTATAAGGTCAAGCATACGTGCGAATATGTAAAAACGTTGCAATAAGCTTATAGGATTCTTTTGGACATCTCAAGTCTTAACAAGTTTTTCATGACCCTTTTAAAGCCAAGTACTATTGGTTTATTTTAAAAGTGTATTAATTAGGAAGCTTGTTAAAACATTCAAAAATGTTATATAAACTTGTTGCAACATTGTTATATAGGACGTATAATTGTTTGGGACTATAAAGCAGTCTATTAGAACGCTTACACATTTTTGTATGTTCTATAAACCTAATTTTATTGTAGTACGAATTAAGGGTTGATTAAGTGGACGTGGTTAGTTTTACTATTTATGGGTGGTATTGTAAGTAAACGTAATGGTAAGGTTAAACTTCAATTATGTGGTTAGGAATTGAATGGAGTTGGTTTATAACGTGGTCACGAGAAGGTTAGTTGTAGCCATACACGTCAAGTTGTTCAATAAGGCATTCTTTTTATAGTTGAAGGGACGTACAGATTTCCATTATGGAAAATGACTCTTTCACATGACTTCCATCCCTAAAGATTATATACATATATATATAATGATATACATATATATAATAAGTTGGGTTTCGTTGAAAAAGAGAGTTAAGGTGAGAAGTGTAAGAAGGGATCTCCACTTTTGAATGTACATTAGGATGAGATGTACCGGATCAATCCCCGTATCAAATATGATTCATGGATGAGCTAAAAATTAAAGGTGATTAAATGTATAGATTATTTCTTATGTTTCTCATCTTAACTCTTATTCTTAGACGATCATTCGCCTATATACAATAGATCGATATACACACACACACACACATATAACAAGGATGATGTGAGTTTAAAATAAGAAGCGTAAGAATGGATCTGGACCATTGATCACTTTTAATCTCGACTAACCCCATGAATTGCTTTTATCACCGGGATTGATTCGATATATCTCGGTGCACTGCATTAGTATTGATCTTCAATTAGAATTGATTCAAGGGTGGAGATCTTTTTTTAGCATAACTCTTATTCTCACTGGAATCAACCTTATATACATAAGGTTGGGTTCCGGTGAAAAAGAGAATTAGAATTGATTCAATGATTGAGAATGTAAGAACAAAACCTTCGTATATAGTCATTTACATTCAACTGCCTCTATTTATCTATTTTTATGATAACTTTATCAAATTCATGCATTTGAAAATGATTAAATGTGTATAAAAGTTCGTGAAAGTGCCTTAAAACTGAAGATAAATTTGAAAATAAAAATAGTTGAATGTAATTAAAGATACTGAAAGTGGTTATAAAAAATTAAGTTAGATCAAAAGGTCAACTTATATAAAGGCTCAAAATTATTCTCATTGTTTTCACCATAACTCTTATTTTTACATGATCTCATGTCTATATATGTATTTTTCTGTCTATGTGTGTGTGTGTGTATATATATATATATATAAGGGTTCATTCAAAGGAGAACTGGTTAGTTTGTGATAACTGTAAGATTTAATCTCAACCACAAATCAATGGATAAATTAGGAAACTAATATTTTTTGGTAATTTGGCTTAAAATTTTAATTACAGGGCATTTTAGGTATTTTAAATTTTTTTATCCATCCTCTATCTCTCTGTCCTGCTTCCAGCCTCCGGTAGATCTTATTCCGGCGAACACCATGTGATACCCAAAATACACCAAGATACATAATGTGGTACCACTGTGACACCAATTGTGGTACCACTATGATACATACGTTGTATATATATATGGCGTCTTAGTCGGACAAGATGACCGAAGGAGATCACCAAAGTGATTGGTGCCGGAGAAGGCCACCGGATTTTGGTCTCCTATGTGCCCATGTTTGTGTGTGTGTGTGTATATATATATATATATATATATATATATATATAAAAGTAATTAAACTAATTAAAGTAAATTGAATAATTAACATAAATTACTAATTTACCCTTCTATTTTATTTTTAAAAAAATATTAATTATTTTAAATGATTGGCTCACGTTGGATCTCATAGTTACCACAAAAGCACAAACTAATTAGTTCTCATATATATATATATATATATATATATATATATATAAAGTAAGACATGAAATTGTAGGATGGAGATAGATCACAAGTATAATGATGTTGGATATGAAAGAGGGTTGTTGGTTCTTCTGGTTAACTTTCTTTTGTGTAGAAACCCAAAATTGCTACTAAATTGTTTATACTATTTCTTTAAATGTATTTATATCTTAAGATTCGTCGTATGTTACTTTAAATACCGTGGTTTTAAATCGTTTATATTTTTTAACTTTTTTGTCAACGCTCAATTTTAATGAAGAAACCTGTTGATATAGTAGGCCGTCAGTTAAGCCTTTAAGAACATATAATACACATACTTCATATGAATATACGACTTGTCGATTTAGATAATCATTTTTTTAAAATAAAAGTTTAAAACAAAACGCCTTCAGTTTTGTGGTCTTTTAGGAAAAATAGTCCAAGATGAAGCCAATACCAGCAAGGTTGCATGTCGGTATTGATCTTTAAAGAAAAGAGATTTTATCTGTACTATAAAAGTGAGGAAAAAGTCGATGTATGCTTAACGTGACTTAAATTTAATGTAAAAAAACAAATATCCTATTTAATTATATTTTGATCCTCATATATATTTCTACCTTTTTTGTTTGTAATGTATATTTTAATATTTTTAATTTTTTGAATACATCAAAAATAAATTTATTAAAAAGTTAATATAATTATAAATTATTAAAATGTAATTAGATAATGAAATAAAGTAAGAATACATGAATTTTACCATATTGTAAATAGGACTGTATAAAAAACCGTTAACTCGCGAAACCAACTCAATCCAACCCGCTAACAACTCAATTAAATTTAACTTGTTTAACCGTCAAACCTTCCACCTGTCAATTAGGATGGTTGAAATTGGGTTGGGCCTAGATCAACCTGCCCAACCCGTCGCTAATATAATTTTTATAAAATTTTATTTATATATATATATTAATAATATATATTTTTTATATAATTTTTGTCGATATTATGTTTGTATTTCATGTTAATTAAATGTATAGGTTATCAAAAGATATTCACGATCAAAGAATGATAACAAATAATCTTATTAATAAAAGAAAATTATTGAATTTTTTTTTGCTACAACAACAAATTGATATGTCGGAGAATATGAATGATATTGGTATATATTTGGTTGCAAATCCATCAATCTAAATACCCCCGTCATTTTATGATGTACTTTAGTGGAAAGAAAATGTTTGGTTATAGCATTTCGCTACAACAACATTAGATCTTATAAGATGTCTAGAATGTCTAAGTATCATAATATGATACTTTATAAGACGAAACAAGAAAAATGTATTGTCTAAAAGAGTTACAATATTTTTTATAGAATAATTTTGGGCGTCTTAACAAATTCTATGACGTTTTTAAAATAAAGTGTCGTATTAGTTATTTTATACGACATGACTTGAAAAAGTGTCCATATGAACATAGGTGTCCTATAAATAGATGAGTTTTACGGGACACTTCTCAACATATTTTGTATAAAATAACTAATACGATATTTTATTTAAAGATAATTCTAAAACACTTGTTGAAACGTCAAAAAACGTCCTATAAACTTATTGTAAACTTTTTAGATAAGACGATTTATAGTATGATATATAAACTTAAGTTTTATTAATTATCTCATTCTTCAAATTTATGTAACTACTAACCCATCAACTCAACCCAATCCGCCTCAACCCACAAGGGTTGGGTTGGGTTGGGTTATACTTTTGAATGGGTTGAGTTGAGTTGAGATTTTTTCAAACCGCCATAATTAAGTTGGATTATAAAAATATTGTAAACCGCTCAACCCAACCCACGTACATCCCTACTTATAAATATTAAAACATCAACAAAAAGTTAATGTTGGTAAACATATTACACTGAATTTAGTATTTTATTATTCAAA